GTGAAAGCCACTTCAGCAAAACTCAGGAGTTCAATTCAGCTCTGCTGTAACTGGTCATGACTCTCTTGACTTCAACAATGCTTCATATGCTTACACCGAGTCTGAATTTATCCCTGTGGCTTCTCGGTCACTGGTCCTCCCTTCCAACTCAGAAACTGCCTACATAATAAAAGTGATTCATTAGAAACCGCTGGGTTCCAAAGTAGAGTGAACACTGAGACCTATAACTTTTTTATATGTGCTCAGTCATAAAAATGAATTTATATGGTAAATATTAGCCCTGCAACCATACTTTCATGAGCTGTAATCTTGTCAAAGCTCGTAAGTTAAGCAAGGTCAGAATTGGTCAATATTTGGATGAGAATCTCTGGTGGGGAGGGGAAGAAAAGTATATACGCTGGAGGTCCTGCAGTGTTTGTAAGTTAGGACATACTGTGCTCCTCTTTAAAAATTTTTGGTATTGGTCTTAGAATACAACAAAATGTTGCATTTGCTTTAGCAATAGTTTAGCCTCTGGCCACATCTGCGCTGCATCTTGGCAGTTTCAGCTAACGTCCTTTCCCAGAGAGGAATGTGATGTAGCAGATTAAGTCTTCTCCCCCCCACACCCCACTTCAACCCAGGAGGTTGGTACTCAGAATACCAACAAATGCCTCTGCTGCTACCTATCCCCCTCTCCCTGAAGGAGTTTGTTGCTACTGCTACTATTTCTGCATTCTCTATGCTTTATCTAGCAAAATATGCTTAAGAAATACATCTCTATACACAAGAAAAAAAACCCAACACTACTCTCCCCTCCTTACCTTCTCCCATAAATAGCTTTCTCTGAGTACCTCATGCTCTTCCCCCCTTTGAGCTCTTCCTTCAGGCAGCCCTGCCCCTCTCCCAGATGCATATAATATATTGATGAAGTGTCTTTAACCTTTTCTTGTGCTGGAGGAGCTTTTATATAAGTGGAGCTACACCTTGTGAAAGGATGCTGTGGGCAGAGCAGTACATAGTCCCAAAAGACATGTAAATAATTAAAGATGGTAAGGAAAAGTCACTGCTATGCAGTAACTTTCTGACAAACAGCTTAGTTGTGCATCTGAGGTAATATATGGATGCAGAAGGGAACTGGAAACACATCTTGGTTTTTCCTAAGGCTGGAGTGCACAGTGCCAGCATGACTGCTCCTCCCCCATGCTTTATCACTGCTACTAAGAACAGCTTTTACAGTAAAGGGGATAAAATGGGAAAGGTCACCAATCCTGTACCTATGGCTGTGTACTAAGGCAGCTGCATTGCAGTGGAAGGACTGCAAGTGGACATTGAGGCCTCGGGAGACAGGAACTCTCCCAAGCTGGGGTTCCCTCACCACAGAGCCCAGCTGCCTGCCAGCCCACAGCCTGCCTGCTGCACCAAGGAGACACAAGGAAAAAGGGTGTTTCTGGAACTATTGAGTTTATGGGGGGATATCCCCTGTCAGACTGTTGAAGACCAAGCCTCTCCCTAGTAAGGCAAATAATAAATTAGGCATTAGGAACCTGGATACCAGATTAGACAGATCGCTAGCAAAGCTGTTCATAAGAGGCATGCATCAAAAATAGTAGCATGGAAGAGCAATACATCAAGGGGTTCTCCTGCAATAAAATGGAAAGTAAAAACTGCAGCCAGGAGGTAGAAAACCCTGACAAGGCTACAGCCAAATAAACTTAAATAGCTTTGGGAATAAATTGGTGGTTTAATCCGGATCAGGAACAGGTGCTATGAATGTAATTCAGTAAATGGTTGAGAGCCTGCCAGAAGGGAGAAAAATGTGTTGCTTTTGAGATAATTTCCCAGAAGCTTCATAAAAGCAAATTGATTACTGGAGTTTAATAATTAAAACAGGGCCAGATATATAGTAATCAAATGAGTTTTTAATTACATCTCAAGAAGAAATAAAATCCAATTTGTGCACTTGGTATCAGAGAAATCCTACTGAAATGCTTTGGTAGCTGGAAAAAATAAAATAAAAGCTAATTTCCATAGGAATTATAGTAGTCAGTTTAATTAAAAGACTAGCTCAGAATGAAAAAGTCCCAAAGTGAAAGGATACTAAATACAGAAGCAGTGGTTCAAACATCAAATCAATGTCTGAATAAAGACATTTTATAGGCCCAGTGCAAAATCTGCACTGTCAAGTATTCCTAATCTAAATTAATGTGTAACAAAATAAAGTTTCTAAAAATTACACTATATATTTTGTAGGTATTCCATTGAATTAATTGCTGGTTCTATGGTAAAAATTAATATCAAAGACATGGTTTATTCTTTCTTAAATACTCCTTTTAATAAATTTCATCAAAGTTAATGTTAGTAGTTAACCATTCTTGTTATTTACCTGGTGGCCTCTCTTGCACTTGGGTTATTAGACTCTAATGTGCACTTAAGTCTGTATTGCTAAGAAATATATGTGTATTTACTTTTGGATTTAAAATATGTTTACAGCTCATAAGACAACAGTGATTACTGTAGAACTGTGGGGTCCTGTATACATTCCCAACCTACTCAGGCTTCTGTTCTCTGCTGTATTGATGCAAAGCTAATTGATCTAAGCACCTCGAGCACTCACAATCCCCTCACAATCCCCTTGGCACTGTACATGACAGGGCTGTCTCCTAGCACAAGAGCATGGCATATGCCCAGGCCTGGAGGGCCAGGCACAGCAGTAGGTCATGCCCAGACCTCTGTGTTTGCTCCCTGGCACTGGTCTTGAAAACATCATGGTCTTGTGGTCAGTCATGGCAAAAAAAAGGGTACAAAAAGGACACAGACATAGCCGAGAGCTGCAGAGCCACACTGAGACAGAGTCTGCTGTCCCAGTGAGCTCCGTCTCCTCTGTGTTGGCTGTAGGTTCCTGGTATAGCATTTATGACAGGAACAGCTTGTACAGCAGGTTGTGCTTACAGATCCTGGGGCTGAAAGGGTATGAGTGCAGAACACCATCCTTGTGCTTAGAGAGATTTGAAATACACTGATTTTTAAACACTGATTTAACCACCAGGGGTGTGTTTATATATATATATATATATTTACTTTTTTTTAATTTAAAGTGTATATTGGAAAAATACTTCACGAAAACTCTTTCAAGATTTAGAAAATACCAGTGAGCTTAACTGACAGGGGATGGATGCTGGCTTTGCACAGAAAGGATCTGATAAGTTGCTGTCAAGAGTGTCTAATGTGCTACTTCTCCACACTGAGCTGGCAGTGGTAATGCAGGTACTAATGGTAACAGGAGTGAGCTTTTCAGGTATTTTCAGCTGTTTATAATGTATTAATGCTCCTCTGTTTTGGACTCCACCACATCAGATTTAAGGACTTCACAATGGTCTGAAATAAAGAGAGAAAAACTGAGAGTTCTGAGGCAGAAAAACTGAGAGTTCTGAGGCATGGTGATGGGAATGTTAAAAATCCACATCCATTCTGTCAAATGAATGACCATCACAGTGAGCAATACTGTATGGGGCAGGGAGTGCAGTGAACTCTGCCTCTTACCCAAGGCCCAAGACTGCAAAATAATCTGCCCAGTTTGTGCCATATTCTGAGGAAATAATTTCAAATGGATTTGCTTTGAGTTCCACACAAATCAGCTTCTTATTCATAGTATGATTTTGCAGAAGTGCTGAGCATTCATATTTCCTACTGAAGTCAACTGAAATTGCAAGTTTTCAGCACATCTTAAAATCAGGCCATTAACCCTTAATTACCGTATAATAGCTCAATTAAAAATCTACCAAGACTTACTTCGGTAGCAAGCCAAGCTCCCATGGCTTGCAGACTAGCTATAAAAAAAATCCAGTCCTTTAGTGGTGTTTGGGCTCTGGGGACCATTTAAAACAGTTGCTGTTAACCTTGCTGTTTAAAACAAAAAATTATCAACTGCAAAGGTACCTACTTCCTCTTTCCTTTCTTTTCTGTATAATTTTCTGCACTTTTTGAAGGGCAGAATGAACTGTTGCTGTCTTCTTTGTCTTTTTTTATTTTTTAATCTTGCACCAACCTTTTCTTTGAAATGACAAATACGTACTTTCCTTGCTGTCAGAGTAAACATGCTGCCCAGCTCTCAGCAAACCCCACTTCTTGCTAGTCAGAAAAGCTGAAAAAGAAGAATACTCCTCTGTCCTGAAAGGACACATTACATGACTGCTTGGGAGGTAACTGGTTAACCCTTTCTTCACATGCAGTGCTGCTGTTAATGAGGTTCTGTCTCTCTTTAATGTAGATACAACCAAGTGAAGCACTTACGGTCTTTTCACATAAGCATTTGATATTAAAGGGGAAGGTAAAATAAACTTCTAGCAAAGGTATGCAGGAATTACATAATTTTGGGACTGTATCAAAGCCAGATAAAACCAGATAAAAGATTCTTACTGGCCTCTGTGAACTTTGGACTGGGTATATACAAAAGAGGTGATTTCAGTGCAATCTCAAAGGAAAACTCATTTATTTTTCTTTATTTTGAGCACACGCACTCTTTTTTTTTTTTTTTTTTTTGCCAGTTTGGCAAAGCACGGTGCTGTTGTGGTTTACTCATCTGTAGGAAAAAATAATCTAGCACTAGGGAGATTATTTCAGCTTTGTCCAACCTATCCAACCAGTGGAACTCCTGCTTCTCGATGCCAGCAATCAGATAGCCTCAGGCACAGGGATTCCTCAAACGGACTATCTTTACAGATACAGATTACCAGAAAGCTAAAGTAGTTGAGCAGCAACTCTGCCATCTTATGTGAATTTTTTTACATTTTTGATGGCTTATTTAAAGCCTCAGGTGAAATGAGCGAGATAGATGAAAAGATCTCACTGAGAACAGTAACCTTTACCTACACAGGTATGTACACACCTGGGGGCAAGGAGGGTAGGGGCATGGTGCAGATTAAACTCTTTTTTTACCCTGTTACTCCATGTACTGCCATCAAAGGAGTTGATACAGTGTCAGTATTTTTTCATTCATCTTCTTTTTAATCTTCTTTCAGTGTCTAGTGAAGCTGAATGTGAAACTGAAGCCTATGCTGGACTCTGTGGCAGTAAATAGAGGTAAATGGGAGGAGCTGCACCAAAAAAGACTTCCTTCTCAGGTGACATCCTCATCCTCCTTTTCCTCTACCTTTACAATGTCTCTCAAAGACATAAATTAAGCCTGCAAATATCAGTGTCACTTTACAATAAGAGCTGTCTGAAAGGCTTACATAAGCTTAGACCCAACATTTTTTAAGAAACGCTTTAGCAGACATGCTTAATTGATTGGATATTATCTTGATGGCAGCATAGTTTGCTTTTACTGTGAGGCTTAGTGGAACTGAAAGGAAGGCCTGCAGTGAGATTGCGCTGGTATCTGGAGAGACACGGAAGACTTAACATAAGAAGCGTTCATTCAGCTCCACTACATTTCAACTGCTGCTGTAAAACTCCGTAACGCTGACAACAGACTGAAATATAAGAACTCACATCTTAATAAAATTAATAATACAGAGCAGAACTGGGATGCAAGCTGGCCAATTCATATGCAAGGAGCTGCACAAAACAGAATAGTATGTAATTACATTGTTGTTTTGCATCTCTTCAGTACATGTTATGAATCAATTATGCCTGCTTTTGTGATGTTCCTCTCCTACTCTCCCTCCTCTTTTAAGCCTGAACATTCTGAAAAGCCTGCTTTGTATTCTAAAGAAGTATTTTTTTACAACAAAGCTTCTTAGTGATTGATCAGGGCTTTTAGAATTGCCTACCTTTGCTACATTTAAAAACAAACTTTATTATCTTTAAAAGCACCAAGCTGTCCCTTCTTCCCAGAGAAATTCATATTAACAGAGCAGCAAATTTCTCAGCAAGGGGAAGTTTGCACAAGGGCAAAATATTGCATGGTAATTTTAGAGTGGGGTTTTTTTCTTTTAAAAAAATGCTCTTTTAACACATTCATTTTTTTAAATTACAGTGTTCCCTAAGGAAAAGATTAATGGGCTTTTATGAAAATAGAGTACAAATAAAAAAGGAAATCTGTTGCCTTGTGCTTCAGGTTTATATTACATTAAAAAGTGGACCACGGATAAACCTTCCTAGTATAATTTTCAGTTGAAATTAATATTTTGAAATGGTGGAGAGGAAGAATATCATCACACTGGACTGACTACCTCTTACTCTCTTGCAGGTCTTTCAGTACAATTTCAGATGCTATTACTACAGCTAGCACTGCTCTAGTCAAGGCTCACATGTAGCCATCAGTGGTAAAGGTGTCCATAAAAATCTAATCAAACATGATAGGTCACAAAACCAAACATATCCAGTTCTGTGTGATGACCCTGGTATTACCTGAAAGTTGATCTCTTTTTATTAGTGCAAGGATCACTAGTGTAGCAAACCTGTGATCTATGATTTGAGGGTGCTTTCTCTGCTGCGTGACCGGACACAAAAGGAGTCGTGTTGCAGCGCTAACGACTGCCCATTCATGGGGGGAGAGAAAGCCTTTGTACTCCATGAAAAATGGGATTCTAAATATAGGGTTGTCTGGCAGCAGAAATTAAAGCTGAATTCAGCTTAGTTTTACACCTGTGCCAAATTCCATTTACTTCAGTGGAATTACCTTGAACTGGCACCAACTTAATGGAAATCGGAACCTGGCCCAGCTGACCAGATGCTAAAAGAGCTTTCCTCCTTTCCAAGGAAAGTGAGTCGTTAGCGCCTTAGAAAAGCTGACTACATGTGTCTCACAATCAAACAGAAACAACAAATCTGCTGATCACTTCTTTAAAAGAAGGACAACAAAACAAAAAGGCTCTGTGCTTCTAACCACAGTGTGTAGGACAATAGCTGGAAATTCAGTAGCATTGTGAGCCAATCTGTCAGTGCACAACAGAACCACATCACTTTCGCTAGCAGAAAGAAGCAGGAAGGATCAGAAATGCAGACTGCACAGCAGTGAGTACATGCATCAAATGGAAATGTTTCTGCTATTCTTTTACCACTTCTTTCTTCTCTGAATAAGGACAGACACAGTATAGTAAGCAACAAGCCATACAAACTTAGAATACATACATTATGGGAGAAACAGATACTAGGAACCAACAGTACTGCTGCCAGGTACACACAGATTTCCTGAATTTTGGTATTGCATATTGCTAAGTATAACATAATTTATAATGCATACCCTACAGCCTCCCCGAAGGTTGAGTCTCCCCTCATTTCCTCTCCTTTTTATTGGCTTCAGTGCACTGTTGCCCATGGCAACACCCACCGGCAGGGATGGGGATTCGGCACCACCGCAAGCTGACACACAGCTGAAGCTCTAACAATGTCAACCATCAATCAAGTGACTGTTTGTAATTGCCTCCATCTATTTCTCCTGTCTTTTGGTATCTTTGCCATTGTGGGTCAAAATTCAGAAACTGCTGACTAATGTTATGGTTCTGCTCCTCCATCACAAGGAAGAAAATGAGAGCACACAGCTCGATCTTATCAAATTGTTCTCAGGCGAAACGAGGCAACCCTGATGAAACCGGGGGGCCCAGTAGTGCATCTCAGAACAGCATTTGGTCTCTGAAACTAAACAAACACAAATTGTATATTATTTTTTAAAACAAAAACTGTTGGAGAGAAAAAGAAGATTCTTTGTGGAAGCATGCAGTACAGTTAAGAAATGCATTCCAAGCCTATTATATTTTAAGATGGTGGAAACCATTTTTTAGCTACTGCTCATAAGCTTGATAGACAGAAATTGTATCTGGTTTTCAGTATTTCGCAGTATTTCAGTCAGTTTTGCCAAACTCTTCCAAGATATGCGCAGGAGAGATGACTGTGTAGATCATTTAATCTCATTCTACATCTTTTACTTGCTTCCCTGCCTACTGAACAAGGAGACATTAAAAAAAACCATTGAAATCGGCTTAATTCTGTGAGTGCATATAAAACATGGGCCCACGAGAGGTGAGGACAAATTAGAGGGCATGTGCTTGGCCTTCCCCTGAAGATGCCCAACACATCAGCAACAAAGAACCACTTACTTGCTCCAGCAGTTAGTGAAAATTTGGCCTTAAATGAGGCCTCTAGAATTTACAATTCCAGAGCTAAAATGTGATGAGCACGTAGATTATCCATAGGATCACACAGGCTTTGTTGTCCCCCAAAGGTGCTTTAAGCTGGTTCAATGGCAATGCCTTTTTTCTAGGTGTCCTACTGAATTGTGCTAACTGCAGCCTGAATTCAGTCAGGTTTTTAGTCCCATGAATTTGGGATCCAGGCAGCAGCCCTCACTTTTTCACCAGAAAAATGCTCAGGAGAAGATCTGGATCTTCCTCCCTATCCTCAAAGATGGTTCAGGCCAAACAGTAATTCCACTCAGGATTCCCACCTGTGAGACCACTTACCGAAATCAACCTTTCCTTGCAAAAAAAAAACCAAAAACAAACAGCAAAACAAACACAGAATTGCATAGGGTAATCAGGAAAAAGCCTGCAAATCCTTGATTTGCAGCAGGCTTTTGATCTGCAGGGGCATCTTCCCCACCAGCCTGTGGGGAGGTGGTCTTGTCTCCTGCCCTTCTGCCAAAGCCCCTTATATGTGCTTAGCACAGAGACAAGGATGCCTGCTGGGTACAGCCCCAATTTCTGCATCGCTCCTGGGAGATGCACGGAGCAGACAGGCTTTGGTGGAAGAGCTCAGGAGAGGCTCATATGTACACCGTTCTGGATTAAAGTGCTCCCCTACAACACGACACTGTGACCCCACCAGAAAACCGAACACTGTTCCAGGCAAGGAGCACGTGGGTAGAAGCTCTGCTGTGGCTCAGGCAGAAGGGTTTCGCACCTCCCAGGAATGAGATTCCCAAAAGGTGTCTTTGGCCATAGTTCAAGTAGTAAAATCAGACAATTCTCTCCCAGCCTGGGACCTACAGACAAATGACAACAGCTTCATAACATGATGAAGATGCAGACATCTGCTTCTGTCAGGACATGGTTTTGCTCCCGCTCCAAAGCAAAGTCTCACAGGGTCAGGCAGCAGTAGCTCCCAGAAGTTTAAACTGGATGTCTCATGTAGTGGTGGACACAACTCTCCATGGAGACAACCCTATTTACAGGGCCGGGGTCTTGCCCAGAAGGTCAATTGTATATTTTGTAATCACAGAGCAGACAAGGATGTTTCATTTTAGCTCAGGTATTTCTTCAGATGGTGTCCTTGGTACAGCAGCTGCATTTTTCTGGTCTGGTGACCTTGCTAATTGCTCCTTCTTAGAGTGCACTGCAATCTTATAATGTGCCTGTAGCTACCAACAAAGCCAATACTAGTACTCACAAATTATTTTTGAAAACTGCAACCAGCAGTGCCTAAGGTCAATTGTAGTATTTAGATGAAGTAATCCTAGTGGAAAAATAGGAGTGTTTCAGTCTACAGGCCAAATACTTATTTTCCCTTCATAAAATTAAAACAATTTAGTTACTGATAGGTCACTTATGCATTGAGTGAAATTTTAAAACAGGTTTATTTCAAGGTTATGTAAAATACATTAACAGACACTTCCAATGCTGTTCGGGGCAAGAAAATGTAGAGCAAGAAGGTTTTTCTTATTGGCTTTGTCAAAGGGATGAATGATTTAAAGAGTAAAGTCATGTAAATGGTTTCTAACATAGCAATGAAGTGGGAGGTATAAATCAGCTGAAATGAGATACTCCAGAGATTTCCATCACTTGAATGTGCCAGTATTGGAATACATACTGTATATTGCTTGTTACCTTTTCTTTCTTGGATTAATTTGTATTTAATGACAAATTTATAAGCATGTTGCCACTGCATCTTACAGTTGTATGGGGGATACCATTATAACCCCTGAATCTTTGCCTGTGGGAAACAACTGACACATGCACAGAAGTACCATGTGTACGTTCTAATGCGAATCCCACATACTTGCAAAATGTGTAACTTTTTAAAAAGACTTCTGCATCTTTTCCTTTTTTTGCATTTTAAGACCATTACTCTTATTGTTTGCTTTAGTAGATCAAACTATGCTTATTCAGTTTTTTAAAGCATGTTTTTGAAATTAACAACTTGGTTTTATTGGTCTCTCTAAAAAAAATAAAACAATTTTAATGGCTTGCTGTGATTTTCTTTCTTTATTATTGCTTTTTTGCTCTGAAGCTGCCTTGTTGGGATGAATCAGAGCTGTATCTATTGATTACTGAATCACACATATAGAAGGTCCTGGAAACACATGAGACTGAGTGGCCCAGATACGATTTTTGACACACTACCTTGCAAGCAAACCAAACTTCTTCACTGAGTATGCTTGGCATCAGTTTGGAGTGACCAGAAACCAAATCTGGACAGTGACTCTTCCAGAGCTGTTCAAATGTAATTACACAGATTATACAGTCTGTGATCTGGATGCATCACTCTTCAGTAGAAATACCATGGGGTAAAAAGTCCCTCCAAAGCACAGTTACATTGTTGAAATAGTTTCGAAAAAGTTGGAAATCATTTCTTCTACTTTTTAAAGCTGCAGGAAAGCCGGTGGATTGTGCCAAGGTACAAACACACTTCCTGCCTTCCACCAGCCGTAACGAACTGTGGCTCTTGATGGGCTGTGACAAGGATGTTTCGGGTTGAAAAAGCCCATGACAGCAATAATATACTTCCTGCACTCCCGGACTGCGTGTTTAGCTTAAGGCCTGCTTTTACACCACGTACTGCTTAAGGGAACTGTCACAGAAGATTTAGAAATATAGTTGATTTTTACTCTTTATTGTTTCCAGCTGCATGAGATCCCGAAAGGAGGGGAAAGTCCCAGTCTAGGCAGCGACTTCATGAGGCTCGAGCTCTTTTGAGCCAGTTTGGAATCTGCCCGGGAGACAGGAGGGGAACACAAGAGGGCGGGCAAACACAGAGGACGCGGCTCCTCTCCAGGGTACCAGTCCACACCGGCACCAGGACGGCCGGACAAGCCTGGGCGAGCGGCCGCCGCCATCCCCCTGCCGGAGGGGCGGCCCCGATCCCGGTATCCCGGGCCGCGCTCACACCGCCCCCTCGCAACGCCCGCAATGTGACCGCGGAACCCGCCGCCAGCACGGGGAGCACTTCCGGCCCGACAGCGCCGTTGCCATGGCAACGGGGAAACTACCCGCTTCCGGGCTGGCCGCGCCGTTGCCATGGCAGCGAGGGCTCCGCTTCCGCCCCCGTCGCGGCGGTGCCGGTGCCGGCCATGGAGGCCGCGCCGGTGCCCGACGGGCAGCACACGGCCGTGGTGTACGGGCTGATCGGAGGCGGGCGCTACGCGGAGGCGGTGTCGCTGCTGAGCCGCGGGCTGCAGAAGAGCAGCCGCTCCCGGGGCTGCCTCTCGCTGCTGGGCTACTGCCACTACCAGCTGCAGGAGTTCGCGGCGGCGGCCGAGTGCTACGAGCAGCTGTCGGCACTGCACCCGCAGCTGGCCCCGTACCGCCTGTGCCACGCGCAGGCCCTCTACAAGGCCGGGCTGTTCGCCGAGGCCCTGCGCGCCGCCAGCCCGCTGCTGGACGTGCCCGGCTTCCAGCGCCGGGCCCTGCGGCTCCAGGCCGCTGTGCATTACGCCCAGGGCGACCTCCCGGCGGCACAGAGCCTGGTGGAGGAGGAGCTGGCTGCCGCCGCTGATGGCGGCCCCAGCGCAGCCGAGGAGCCCTCGGAGCGGGCCGATGCCGAGGTGAACCTGGGCTGCCTGCTGTACCGGCAGGGCCGGCATGAGGAGGCCAGCGCCAAGTTCGGCAGCGCCATGCAGGTGCTGGGGTACTGCCCGGAGCTGTCCTACAACATGGCGCTGTGCTCCTACGCCGCCAAGCAGTACCCGGCCGCCCTCAAGTACATCTCCGACATCATCAAGCACGGCATCCATCAGCACCCCGAGCTCAGCGTGGGCATGACCACCGAGGGCATCGACGTCCGCAGCGTGGGCAACACGCTGCTCCTGCACCGCACGGCCCTAGTGGAGGCCTTCAACCTCAAGGCAGCCATCGAGTACCAGCTGCGCAACCTGCGGGCGGCCCAGGAGGCACTCACTGACATGCCCCCGAGGGCCGAGGAGGAGCTGGATCCCGTCACGCTGCACAACCAAGCGCTGATGAACATGGACAGCCAGCCTACTGAAGGGTTTGGGAAGCTGCAGTTTCTCCTCCTGCAGAACCCCTGTCCGCCAGAAACTTTTGGTAACTTGCTACTCCTCTATTGCAAGCATCAGTACTACGACCTGGCAGCTGATGTGCTGGCAGAGAATACCCATCTGACTTACAAACTGCTCACACCTTACTTGTACAACTTCTTGGATGCCATTATCACTTGTCAAACTGCCCCTGAGGAGGCTTTCCACAAGCTAGATGATTTAGCAGGGACAATGACTGAGCAGCTGAGAAAACTCACAAAGCAGGTACAGGAAGCTAGGCAAAACTGGGATGATGAAGCTCTAAAAAAGGCAGTTAATGAGTATGATGAGACTCTGGATAAATATGTACCTGTCTTGATGGCCCAAGCAAAGATTTACTGGGACATGAAGAACTACACAATGGTGGAAAAGATCTTCCGCAAATCAGTGGAGTTCTGCAAGGAACACGAGGTGTGGAAGCTCAACGTGGCTCATGTGCTCTTCATGCAAGAGAACAAGTACAAAGAGGCTATCAGCTTCTATGAGCCGATAGTTAAGAAGCACTATGACAACATCCTCAATGTCAGTGCCATTGTGTTAGCCAACCTCTGCGTTTCCTACATCCTGACAAGCCAGAATGAAGACGCAGAGGAACTAATGAGGAAGATCGAGAAGGCAGAAGAGCAGCTGTCCTATGACAATCCTGATAAAAACACCTACCATCTTTGCATTGTCAATCTGGTCATTGGTACCCTCTACTGTGTGAAGGGAAACTATGACTTTGGTATTTCACGGATCATTAAAAGTCTGGAGCCATATAACAAAAAGCTGAGCACTGACACGTGGTACTACGCCAAGCGGTGTTTCCTGTCCCTGCTGGAGAACATGTCCAAGCACATGATCATGCTGCGTGACAGTGTCATCCAGGAGTGCGTTCAGTTCCTGAAGCAGTGTGAGCTGTATGGGAGAAACATCCCAGCTGTCATTGAGCACCCCCTGGAAGAGAGTAGGATGCACAGCGGGAAAAACACGGTCACCTACGAAGCTCGGCTTTTGAGGGCTCTGATGTATAAGATCATTGGGTGGGCTGAGTAAATGGTGTTAACTGGACAGCAGAAATGAGAACTTTGTTGTTTTCTTACACTTGTGAGGTGATGCTCACACTTGCAAAAATCTTTAAAGATTTCATGCTGTATTTTAACAGCATTCAGTGGAAAATAGAATATTTTCATTAAATTAACCTGCATCAAATAACTAGAGGCATTCTCAGTAACCTGTCATGTTAAATGCAGCTTAAGATGTGTTGACCAAGAATGTCATTATAGAAATATCATAGAGTTTTCACCTGTAAGACAATATTTTATCCCTCTGAAATTTAGACCAAGTTTCTTTTCATTGGTTGATGGTTAAAAAAAAAAGTGTTGTCTGTCTCTTCTAGCACAGAGTTTGAAGAAACAATTGTTTTCATTCTGTATTGTGCCTATGTGTGAAATGTTTATTTATTTTGCTTTTTCCAAGGTATTTTTAATATGTTGCAGACCACGTTGATTGTATATTTGAACACAAGACATGGCTTTATATTAAAAAATCAGTTCTACAAACGCGAACAGTGTCTTTTGCTAACTCAGTAATAATGCAGGAGTATTCTGGCAAATTCTATACCTAATACAGGGACCAGGAATATAATCCAAGAAGGCTCTATTAGATTGGTACCTCAGTTTAGATCTACCTTTGCAATAAAGTTTGTTATGGCTGGACATAACTGACTTAAGAGACACTGCTCAGTGCTGCCCCTCAGCTTCTGAGACCCCCAGAGTCCTGTGCCTGCACCATCTGGGTGGCAGCTGTTGTCCTGCAAACCTGCTTGGTAGGAAGTGCTTACTTAGTAATTCAGTCATCCATGTGCAGCCCCTCTAATCCAAATACCATTCTTAGAGTATACCAGTCTCTAGTAAGAGACCCCGTGAATGTGAAATTATGTTATTTTCCAGATTTCTCAAAAAACCACCTAACTTCCATCATGTAACTTCCATTTCATGCAAGGCTTACAATTCTACCCTTAGGTGGTAGAAATCTGCTTCTTAGTTTTCTCCTTGTGTTCCTGCATCTCTCAATTCCTCTATGAAACTCTGTTTATTTGCTTAATTCCCTTACTTGGCATTTCCATCACACTGCCATCAGTCAGTGTGTTTTCTCAACAGTCTTCCCATCCCTTTTCAACCATATTATATGTTCCACAGTGAAGTGAGACCAAAACACCTTCCAGTGGTTTTATGCAGACTGTTTCTGTGCCCCATGGCTGCTCTCCTTTTTGTGTATTCTGCCTTCTGAAGAAATGTGTGAGATGAAGTTTTTAAAATAAGGATCAAAGATCTGTGGCTTTAACTCATTTGGTTGCTTTTGACACTGATTCCCTGAAGCACTGTTAGGGGAGAATTTTGGAATCACGCTGCATGTCCCTCAAAATCCAGCTTCTATAGCGTAGTTTACCTGGAAGGAAAGATAACAACCTTTTTGGAAGTTTTGAAGCTACTACAGAGGAATAGAATATTAATCCTTCCAGAGAGTTTATATATATAGTAACTTGACAGGCCTGCAGCCATTTCAACATAGAGAAAGTCAACTTTTACCTGTTGGGAGAGAAACCTGTCAGGGCTGAGCATACTGTGTGCAGCTAAAGGAAATGGCTGTGGGTTAGGTAATGCTACAGTTTACCCAAAACTTCCTAGAACAGTAAAGCAAAATCAAATTTAACAGTGTCAAGAATGGGAAAATATTCTAGAGAGCAGGCAGGAGATGTGGCAAGGTGTCCTAGAGAGGCCTCCATAGCTCATCACTAGGCCATTAAGCCCCTGATTATTT